TAAATAAAAACACACATGCCCAGGAAGGTCTTGTATGCCCCCTCCATCAAAATGTACCCATCCAATATAATAAAATGGTAAAAAAATGTTCAATAATAAATAAAAATAGGGGCTTAGAAATAGCTCAATGGTAGACTTGCCTGGTGTGAAAGGGTTTGATTCCCAGCACCACAAAAACAAATCCATAAAATAAAAAAAGTTCTAAAAAGAAGCCACCAATAGTAAAATGGTCACACATTAAATGTAAGTATTGGTGCTGGAGGAATGGCTCCGCAGTTATGTGCACTGGCTGCTCTTCCAGAAGACCTGCATTCAGTTCCCAACACCCTTATCAGGTGGCTTACAGCGATTTGTAACTATAGTTCCAAGGGATCTGCTCTCCTCTTCTGGCCTCTGCAGGCACCTGCATGCACACGGTACACACTCAGATACACACATAAATAAAAATAAATCTTAAAAAAAAAGTAATCACATAAATTTAATTCTTGAAAATGCATACTGTATCATATATTCCATACTGCAGGATTAATTTATACCTCTGCTCTTTCAGTTGTGCTAATTCTTCTCCAATAAGTTTTGGTCGATGCATCTGCTGGACCCTGATCATCTGCAAAAGTTGGTCAGCTTCACAATCTGGCAGATCACCCTTAACAACAAATATAGAATAACCTAAAAAGAGGCAAAAATAAACTAAAACAACTAGTAAGAGATTCAAAATTGATTTGAACTGATAGCAGACAGAAAAGAAACACAGTATAGTAGGAAAAATAAAAGTTGAAAATCCAGAAACACCTGGGTTTACATGATTCTCACATGAACTAGGAGGGGACTCTAGGACCTGGTATATTATGTCTTGAGCCTCACTTTCCCCATCTGCAAGACTCAGTGACTATGAGAAAACAGGGCAATATACTGTGTACAACAGTTCTACAAAGGCAGAGTCTGACCAGCTGGGCTACTCACTGAGCAGCAGTGGACAGGTGGGTAGAGGAAACAATCTAGAATTGGATTCCTTGTGTTGGATCCTAGCTCTGTCACTTTCCAGCTACATGGCACTATTTCAGTCACCTGTCTTGGTTGGGTCCTTTCATCACTGACAAAGGAACCTTCCGCACAGGGGTGGTGTGAAGGTACGTTTGGTTACTATGTCCACTGACTGGTAACAGGGATAAAATGGAGCTCCTATGGACATAGTAGCTCCCGACCGTGCCCCTGCCCCAACAGAGCCTTTCCAACTGAAAATAGGAGCTGAGAAGCTGGAACGCCGGATCTAGTTAAGATGCCAAACACTTGCTTCATGTTTTGAATGGTCCAATGGAATTTTTAATAAACATGAGCCTAGAAAAGCTGGGTTTTTCCAGGTAGATGTTCCACACAGAAAGTGAGTAAACATTGTTTATAATGAATTCCAATCTACTTGAAGTTTTCTACTGATTTTCTTAAACATCAAAGAAATCAAGCTCAAGAGGGCTGGTCATCACACAAAAAAGATAATGCTTAACATCTTTTTAATTTTATTTTTTAAAAATATTTTATTCTGGGGCTGGAGAGATGGCTCAGCGGTTAAGAACATTGGTTGTTCTTGCAGAAGACCTAGGTTCAAATCCTAGCACCCACGTGGCGGCTAACAACTGTCCGTAACTCCAGTTCCAGGGGATCCAACGGCCTCTTCTGTCCTCCTCAGGCATTGTATGACATGGGTGCACTTACCTACATGCAGGCAATACACTCATATACATAAAATAATTATTTTATGTGTATGAGAATACTGCCTGTATGTAAGTGCACCCATGTCATGCAATGCCCGAGGCAGTCAGAAGAGGGCGTTGGATTCCCTGGAACTGGAGTTACAGAAGGCTGTTAGCCACCATGTAGGTGCTAAGAATTAAAGCCAGGTCCTCTGCAAGAGTCGACAGTGCTCTTAACCACTGAGACATCTCTCCAGCCCACTAATTTTGACATTCTATTCAAGACTTTGGAATTTATTCTGAAGACACTAAATGGTAAAGCATGCAACATAATATACATTAGATTTCTACAAAAGCACTCCAGCTGCTTTAGCAATATAACACACAGGAACCCAGGCTGCAGGAAGAATGGTCCTTATGAAAAAGGATACCTGAAAGAAAGCATGTATAAGGGAGAAAAACAACACACCCAAACAAACAACCACCACAACGATCCAGTCTTTGGTGGACATATTTGATTTGAAATCCTTCTGGACTTCCAGGTGAAGATGTCAAAGTCAGGATTAGAGTTCAGGACAGATGTCTAGGTTAAAGACAAAAGTCTGGGAATTATCAACATATAGATATTAGGGAGCTATCGGTAATGGCAAGGCAAGAGTGAAGAATGATCTTTGACAGCAAGAAGATATTGGATTAGTTACTAATGTAGAAATCACTAAGAATTTAAGCAAAAGAGACAGATTACCAGTGGATCTAAAGCCTTCAATGAAAAAGGAAGAGGCTCATAGATGGGCAGGCATAGTTTAATCTAGGGCATACATTCAAAGGAGCAGGAGTTCACAGAAAGAACAGGGGCCTAGAAGGATCAAAGGGGAAAAGGAAGACTGTACCCCTTCCCCTCAGCCCTGTGATCTGCAGGATACAGAAGGAAGGGCGATTACTTAAGAAGGGCCACAAAGCAAGCTCCAGATTTAGGGGAGGATCCAACATCAGGAGCATTCACATGGAACTGTGTCATTCAAATCATAGCCTCAAGTTCACTGCCTAAAATGTGAGGATGATTTCACAACCCAAAATCAGTACTATCACACATCTATTGACTTAGTTTTTGTTTAGCTACTGTGAAAAGCAAATAGCATAAATTTCTCAGTCTTTATTTACCTTCTTGCTGTAACTGAGCCAAGAAAAGTGCGAGGTATGTGTCTGATATTAATTCTGGACCCGTCAACAAAGAATTCAAGTTAAACCACTAGAAAAAAGATACATCAATATTTGTTAGTGTACATATATGTTAAAAAGAATTCTCCACATGTTAAACATACAGTCCACCAAAATGTAATAAGATTCTCTAAATAATGGAAATATATCAAACAGAATTTAAAAAAATTTTTTTATTAT